CAAAGGGAAGGCTGGGATTGATTTTGGGGGTAATTGCCTCAAAATTTTAGGAATTAGGGGCCAAAAAGGGGCAAAAAACAAGAATTTTTCTAGTTTCAGGACAATAACTTGTGTGTAAGTATATGGATCTTTATGAAATTGTACTACAAGGTTGCATAAGACAAAGGAAAAGCTGGGTTTGAGTTCGGGGGTAATTGCCCTAAATGTTTAGGAATCTGGGGCCAAAAAACAAGCATTTTTCTAGTTTCCAGACAATAACTTGTGTTCAAGTGTATGGACCTCTCTGAAATTGTACTGAAAGGTACCATACCACAAAGGAAGGCTGGGGGTGATGAATCATAAGGGGGTTCAAAAAATTGGGGGGGGGGGGGATTTTTTTTTCCTTTTTTTCCTTTTTTTTTCTTAAAAAATTTTCCATTTTAAATTGTTTATTTCTGATCTAATATAAAAGCAATTAATAATGATATGGTTTGAATAGGTAAATTAAAATTTTTTAAGTTCTTAGACCACATTCATTCTGTGTCTGAAACCTATGCTGTGTCAAATATTTAATCACAATCCAAATTCAGAGCTGTATCAAGCTTGAATGTTGTGTCAATACTTGCCCAACTGTTCAGGGTTTGACCTCTGCGGTCATATCAAGCTGCGCCCAGCGGAGCATTTTATTATACATTGTGATTTGGGTGGAGAGTTGTCTCATTGGCACGCATACCACATCTTATTTATATTGACCTATTGCTTCTAGTATCTGATAATCTGACAAAAATTTTAAAAAACTTATCATTGACCAATGAACCATGAAAATGAGGTCAAGGTCATATGAACCCTGCCAGGCAAATGGTGAAATATTTACACCTTACAATCGTTCCATACACCAAATAATATGACCTTGCTTATAATATTTAAGAATTAGACCAAACCATTGTCCAATAAAACATGAAATTGAGGTCAAGGTCAGATGACACTTACCAGTCGGACATGTTCACCTTACAATCATTCCATACACCAAATATAGTTGACCTACTGCTTATAGTATCTGAGATACGGAATTGATATTGAGCACAGATCCATGAAATGAGGTCGAGGTCAGGTGAACCTTACCTGATGGACATCTAGACATTGCAAGGAACCCATATACCAAATCAAGTTATCCTATTACTCATAATAAGTGTGTATTTCACTTGACAAAAAAACTAATTTTTTTCAAGCAGTCACTGAATGAGGTCAAGGACTATGGACATATGACAGACAGAAACTTCGTAAAATAAGGTGTCTGTATAAAAGGTATGAAGAATCCAGGTCTTCTACCTTCTGAAATATAAAGCTTTATACAAATAGATTATGCCGTCACCACTGCTGGATGTAATCCCTTTTGTCTCGCATATTCGTTAAATATAAGTATAAATTATTATATCAAATCATTTCTTTGCAGATGTTTAATTCAAAGCAGTTGTTGGAAGCTTCCTTTTCAAGTATTGAAACAGATATAAATAAAATGCTTCGCTGGGCGCAGCTTGATATGACCGCAGAGGTCGAACCCTGAACAGTTGGGGCAAGTATGGACACAACATTCAAGCTTGATACAGCTCTGAATTTGGATTGTGATTAAATATTTGACACAGCATAGGTTTCTGACACAGAGAGAAAGTGGTCTAAGAACTTCAATTTTTTTAATTTACCTATTATGGTCCAATGTCCAAAATCAAAATATATGGTTAGATTCAGCATATCAAAGAACCCCATATATTCAATTTTTGTTGAAATCAAACAAAGTTTAATTTTGGATCCCAACTTGGACAAACTTGAAAACTGGTCCCATAATAAAAAATCTAAACACATGGTAAGATACAGCATATCAAAGAACCCCATATATTCAATTTTTGTTGAAATCAAACAAAGTTTAATTTTGGACCCCAATTTGGACCAACTTGAAAACTGGGCCAAAAATCTAAAATCTAAATACATGTTTAGATTCAGCATATCAAAGAACCCCAATATTCAATTTTTGTTGAAATCAAACAAAGTTTAATTTTGGACCCCAACTTGGACCAACTTGAAAACTGGGCCCATAATCAAAAATCTAAACACATGTTTAGATTCAGCATATCAAAGAACCCCAAAAATTCAATTTTTGTTAAAATCAAACTAAGTTTAATTTTTGACCCTTTGGACCTTAATGTAGACCAATTTAAAAAACGGGACCCAAAATTAAAAATCTAAATACACAATAAGATTTGGCATATCAAAGAACCCTAATAATTCAATTTTTGATGAAACTAAACAAAGTTTAATTTTGGACCCTTTTGACCTCAATATGAACCAATTTGATAGCGGGCCCACAAACAAAAAATCTAAATACATGGTAAGATTCAGCATATCAAAGAACCCCAAATATTCAATTTTTGTTGAAATCAAACAAAGTTTAATTTTGGACCCCAATTTGGACCAACTTGAAAACTGGGCCAAAAATCTAAATTCTAAATACATTTTTAGATTCAGCATATCAAAGAACCCCATATATTCAATTTTTGTTGAAATCAAACAAAGTTTAATTTTGGACCCCAACTTGGACCAACTTGAAAACTGGGCCCATAATCAAAAATCTAAACACATGTTTAGATTCAGCATATCAAAGAACCCCAAGAATTCAATTTTTGTTAAAATCAAACTAAGTTTAATTTTGGACCCTTTGGACCTTAATGTAGACCAATTTTAAAAACGGGACCCAAAATTAAAAATCTAAATACACGGTTAGATTTGGCATATCAAAGAAACCCCAATAATTCAATTTTTGATGAAATCAAACAAAGTTTAATTTTGGACCCTTTTGACCTCAATATGAACCCATTTGATAGTGGGGTCCACAAATAAAAAATCTAAATACATGGTTAGATTCAGCATATCAAAGAACCCCATATATTCAATTTTTGCTGAAATCAAACAAAGTTTAATTTTGGACCCCAATTTGGACCAACTTGAAAACTGGGCCAAGAATCAAAAATCTAAATACATGTTTAGATTCAGCATATCAAAGAACCCCATTTATTCAATTTTTGTTAAAATCAAACAAAGTTTAATTTTGGACCCTTTGGACCTTAATGTAGACCAATTTGAAAACTGGACCCAAAATTAAAAATCTAAATACACGGTTAGATTTGGCATAACAAATAAATAAATGTGGTCAAAGATTTTACAAATCTAATGCGCCATACTGGTCTTCCTTTATAAATATGCATTTCTTTAAACATAATTTAAAAGCAGTGTAAGGGAAGTAACCAAAACGTTGTATTTGGATTACCTCCCTTACACTGTTTTAAATTATCTTAATTATTCATTAACCATTACTTTATACATAATTTAAAAGCAGTGTAAGGGAGATAATTTGAATGATGTATTTGATTTATCTCCCTTACACTGCTTTAAATTATGTTTTGTACTAAAGTATTTGTCCATTAATGAGAACAACCTTGTTTTCCCCCCTTTTTTGCCCCCAATTCTTAAACGGTTTGAGCAATAACCCCCCAAAGCAAATCCTAACCATCCCTTTGTGGTATGGAAACTTGTAGTATAATTTCAGAGAGATCCATACACCGTTCCACAGTTATTGTCTGGAAACTAGAAAATGCTTATTTTTGGCCCCTAATTCCTTAACTGTTGGTACCATAACCCCCAAAATCAATCCCCACCTTCCTTTTGTGGTATTGAACCTTATGGTAAAATTTCATAGAGATCCATTCACTTAAACTAAAGTTAGAGTGCGAAAACTAATGCGTCTTCGGACGACAACGACGACGACGACGCCAACGTCATACCAATATACGACCACAAAAATTTTTTTGCGGTCGTATAATGAGACTTGGTTAAAACGTCATTTTTCTTTATAGCTAAGTTGCCACCAAGTCGAACACGGCTTATGATACTATGACTGAAGTCCAAGCATTCAGATGTCAACATTTCGGATCCAGACAATATCTGTTGAAATATCAACAATATCTTTACAAAACTTGATATCATAATATCATACATATGTGGTGAGGAAGACCCTTTTTATTTGGAAGTCAATATGTCAAAGTTTAAGGTCACCTGGTCTTGCTATCGTTTTCAGAAAATATAGTCAGTTTCAAATTAAAGCCTTGAGTGAACAGCTGATTTTGACAGTTTAGCAATATTTGTTATTGAGGTATTTTGCAAACACTGCAAGTTATAAATCACACATTGCAACTTATTTATATTAGTTAATAACTGAAATTAATCTTATTAGCTTTAAATAAAGCTGCTCTTATTTATCCAAACATATCTGTTTCTATTTTTACAAAGTTTGGACTTTGAAAACAGTTAATACTGTGACATTTAGAATTGCTATTTGCATTATTTCTGCCAACCATTCTTATTATCGGTTGGCACTTCAATTCAAACTGACTGCCTGACATCTTCATACTATAAAGGGTTTAGCACTTCATGCAACCTGACCAATAATATTTGAAAATTCAAGAGGAATGTGTATAAACATATTATAAAGACACTGGACAATTCTACCGGTATCCAATAATACAGCTTGAAATAAAGGGTCAATTAACATGGGAATCATTAAAAAAAAAGAGGATTTGTAACTATTTTCCACAACAATTCAGTCTGACAGACTGTTTTGCTTACTTAAACACCAGTCTGAAGGTTTAAGGAATTGTCAGCCCTGGGTAACTAGTCTGTATCAAGATGAATAAACTTTAGTTTGTATCAGACAATCATGCATACATAATTTGTATATCATCTTCTGCAACATTGTAGCCTAAGTTGAAATATCCTAACTTGTATTTTACCTGATTTGTCAGTGGTGTTTTTTATGAGGTGCAAGACAGGAGCTTTACTGATGTGTTTCTATTAAACAAAAAAGCCCCTGTTTTATCTAGGAAAAGTTTGATCAAATAGCATTGGTGATATGAGTAATGATACTAAAATGATAGCATAGCTTACCTGGTGCAAAGATTAATTGTCAATGAAAATACAGTGTTTCTTAATATGTTTATTGGTTTTGAAACTTTTTTTATCAATAAATAACATTATAATAATGGACGAAGCACTTCAATATTTCAATAGTATGTTTTTAAACTACATGTAATATAAAATGAAATTTGCAGATACAAAACATAACTAAGGTCACCAATGACAAAATTTGTATGAAAAAATTAGTTGAAAATAACGTAAAAGAATATGGAACAGAAAATCAATCTATGTATCAAATACTCTGCTTCAATGTGTACAGATAAAGACGAAACAACAATTTAGTTAAAATTTTGAATGCTAAATTGCTTTGCTACTTAATATGCATGTCACATGGTTTCACAAAAGATATTTTCTTAAGAGCACAACTTTCAGTCAAAGATTTCCCTAAATCCTATACAAAAACAACATGGTAATTGTCAGATCAAACATGTGAGATTTAAAGAGATAATTATTTGCATTAACATATTGTTTTAGTATTAAATTGTCTCTCTTTTTTGAAGTGAAAAGAATCCAAGACACTTTGAAGTATCAGCAATTTCCACTTCATAAGCTTCTCCACACAAAAATAAAAGAAAACAAGAATGTGTCCATAGTACACGGATGCCCCACTCGCACTATCATTTTTATGTTCAGTGGACCGTGAAATTGAGGTCAAAACTCTAATTTGGCATTAAAATTAGAAAGATCATATCATAGGGAACATGTGTTCTAAGTTTCAAGTTGTTTGGACTTCAACTTCAGCAAAAACTACCTTGACCCAAAACTTTAACCTGAAGGGGGACAGACAGACGGACGCACAGACTGAAAAACATAATGCCCCTCTACTATCGTAGGTGGGTCATAAAAAAGGATAAAAATTTAAATATTATGAAAATATTAGTATTAACTGACATTCACAATACATGAAAGAATTGTTATTTTATCTGTCATATGTTAAGTTTTAGATCAAATTTTTTGCTTTATGACAAGAAAATGTGTCCATAGTTAACTATCTTAAACACAAACTTTAACGTGATATACGACAGACGAACGAATGGCAGACCCAGAAAGTATTATTATAGACAGGGCATTAAATTTTTTTTTTTTAATTTGAGCATTTTAGCAAATACAACACACCAGTCAACCATTTTGGTTACATAAGCATGAAAATAAGTTTCAACTAAATTTGAGATTTATAAATACAATATTTGCTTATTTGCTTATCATTTTAAAATTCATCAAAGAGTCTACATTGTGAGAAAAATTAGAAATAAACATTCTATATACTCATATCTAGAGAAAAAAAATTAATACTATATAAAAAGTGGTAAGACTTTAGATTTAAGTTAATGCTAGTTGAAAAACAAGCTACCATAATCTAATTTAACATGAAAAAATTCATGCAAGATACATGTAATACATAAGAATGTATATGTGTACATACATGTATGTGGAGTTCAATTAAGACATAATCATCATAAAGTCTTATGAATTTACAATAGTACAAGATAATAACAAATTTACAAATTAAAGAATGAAGCAGAACACATTTTATCTTACAATTGAATTTAAACAAATGGATTTCCCTCCTTCAAGAAAAAACATGCAATAAACAATTTGATATTCTTTGAACATCTTAATACATTCTCTTACTATTCATTGTCCATGAAATTAAGTATTTTTTCCATGTAGGTCTCCTTATTTTAACTTAGGTGTAGTATTAGTGAAAGGCAGATGTAGTCCATACTATTGGATTGCTACTATATAAAATCTTCATCTAAATCATCAAAACCATAATTGCCACTAGATGACGCTGCTAAATCGTTAAAGTCATTGTCTCTCTCTGATTTCAATGTAATTTTACTCTTCTTCTTTTTCTTATTCATTTCCTGAAAAAAGAAATATTTTTATTATGTTATTCACTACTGCTCAAATAAATATCCTCCAATGTAAAACATTCACTTATTTTTTTCTTCTACTTGTACCAGTAATAAATGCAGAGTATAACAAGAGGCTCCCAAGAGACCATACCTGTCAACCTCGGAAAATGAAAATGCAGGTCATGATCTGTATTTAGGAAGATAAAGTAGGTCATAACGTGTACGAACTTTTTTCATTGAATTTTAGTATTTAGACAATTTTAGTAAAGAGAACTTTTTAATATTCTACAACATAAACCAGTTACCTACAAATTCACAATTGTGAAGTATTTGCTGAAAATCGTTTAAAATTTCAATTCATGTTTTCATTGCAACTTCATTACAGAATATGTTAAATATTTATTATTAATCAAATATCAATATAAAGTAATGCCCTTTAATTGTTTCATTCACACTATTTCTTATTAATGAATTTTGTAAACCCCAACTCTGAATAAGAAATCAGCTATAGCTAATGCCTCCTATACATAGGATGATAATAAGAAAGAAGAATTTACTGTTGTTTACATTCTGTGCAGTCAAAGGTAGACCAGATGGATTTTTAATACGTGACAACAAAATAAATGGTTGAATATAGTTTACGGACCTTTATCTCTCCAACAGATATGAGTAAAGAGGTACGGTTCAAATTTTTTAAAATGATTTTAATAGGATAATTGACATTTATAAATAGCAAAATTTATAAATCAGGAAATAAAATTGTATGTCAAGCTTGACTGGCTTCATCCTTTCTGGGGTCCAATTAATGAGAATTAGCAAATTGTTATTACCTTTCAATCAATAGTGTCAAAATAATGTTTTGAAAGCTGTAAATCATTCAATTTAGGGCAAATTATTAAACTTCCTGTTCAGGAAAAATTTTGAATTTGCTGCTTTTCATTGGAAAATTTAGCACTTTCAACATTGGAAGTCTCATAACACTAAAATGTGGGTGAAAATGGGTCATTTGATGAATCCCCAAGTTATTTGATGACTCAGGACAGGTATTGAAAAATCTCGGGGGTCACTCGCCCAAAATACAGGTCAGTTGACAGGTATGAGAGTCGCTAACCTGGTAAAAAAATATTCCATATTGATATTTTTTTTTTTTCCTGTTTTGCAATCTGCTATGCATCTAATTTTGTGGCATTTGTGTAGGGGTTGATACAGGTGTGATATTGAAAAAGCCATATGATATTCTCTATTAAATTTGACCTATTTAGTACTAACCTTTGCTATTTTCTGTTTTTCGTGGTATATATTTGTTAAATTTTGTCCCAATTTTCTGCAGTCTTCAGCTTCCACTGAAAAATAACAAATTGAACTGTTCAAATTTCATATAAATAGGATTGAGTGCACTTAAAATGCAAGTTTAAATAAAACTGATATTTCAAAGGGGCACAACTCCTTTAAAAATAGTTGATCAGCACAGATTTTTTCAAATTGATCTAAGACATTGCTGATATAAACCTTTGATATAAATTGAAACTGTGAGAGTGTTGACAAGCTGATGGATGGACACATGTACACCCTGTATTGTTATGTCCACTTCAATGCTTTGCAGAAGGGGACAATAAAATGCATTTTAATAGGCAAGTTATATTAGAGAACAAAGCATAATTTTTCATCAGTCATTCTAGCCCTGATAATGTAAATACAATACAGCAAAAATAAATGGGGAATGTGTCCATGGTACACAGATGATGCCCCCGCTTGCATATAACGTGATAAAGGGACATAACACTAGAACGGTAAAGTGATTCTAACAAAATTTGTACTTAATCTGAGTTTTGTGGTAATAAGCATTGTGTATAAGTTTCATAACATTTGGTTGAGGCAAACTTAAGTTAGAGAACGGAAACGAAAAATTCAGCACTTTTTCCATTTGTAAAGGGGCATAACTCTAGAACAGTAAAAGTGACGCCACCAAAATTCAAACTTGATCTGTGTTTTGTGGTAATAAGCATTGCACATAAGTTTCAGAACATTTGGTTGAGACAAACTAAAGTTAGAGAACGGAAACGAAAAATACAGCAATTTTTCCATTTGTAAAGGGGCATAACTCAAGAACAGTAACATTTGGTTGAGGCAAACTAAAGTTAGAGAATGGAAACCAATTTTGGGATGTACTGACGGACAAGGGTAAAACTTAATGCCCCCTCCGCTATGGCGAGGGCATCCAAATCTTGCAGTATGTAATCCATTCCACCAGAACCATATATTGAAAATAAAAGAAGAATGTCGGAGGAAACGAATGCCCAAGCTTGCTTTTCAAAGGAAGATGGGAAGGAAGGTCAAGGGTAACACTTAATGCCCCCTTTGCCTTGCGTCTGGGGCATAAAAACATAAAATAAACATCTTTCACTGATAAGTTTTAAAATTGCTGATAGCTGTCGAATGTTTGCACATTTTACAATGAGCTGATTATTGATTTTGTATCAATTTCCTATCCTGCATTGACTATAAACAATGAAGGTAAAGAGGACAACAGACTAAACACAAAGAACTCTTCAGAAGACTGATGATGTCAAGTTGCCAATTTTCTTCACCTCAAAAACATTTTTTTCCACTTTTCTATAAATTAGAAATGACTACACAACTTTTAAAATACTTACAACTAACTACTAAATCTGTGAAAAGTTTTTCTAAAAATGAACAGTAATGTTTCGATTTCTGAAAAATAAAAATATATTTGCCTTTAGCATATTACTGAAGAAAGCCAACACACAATACTTTTTCAGATAAAAATACTGAGATTCTTTTGTAATTGGTTGGGTTTTTTTTTGTTACAATTTAAACAGAAAATGTTGGAACAGAAAAGTTTTAATTCCCGAATTTGGAAGCCTTCACAGAGGGGCCCTCATCATGTAAATAAGTTAATATGGATGCAATTAGAGTTATTCAATGTACATGAACAGGGATGTCTTAAATTTAACTAACTTTCTGATTTTGCAACTAAGCTAAAAAAAATACAAACTATTATATAACAACATTTTACCATCATATTCAGTAAATATACTTTTGAAATCAAGTAAATTTTTTAAACACCTGTTATAATTTTTATATTTCTTACTTCAAAAATTGTAATTTTATTTTTTATAGCTTCACCAAACTTCTCAAATCCTTCTTCATCTTCTGGGAACATTCCGTCTATACCTGAACCTTTATTTACACCTGTAATACAAAATATACACAATTCATTGATCTAGTGATCCCAATTACCAAGGCTTGTATGATTTATTGTTATTTAACGTAACTTTCAGCACTCTGGGCTATTTCAGGGCATTCAGTTTTTGTTGACAGAGGAAGCCAGGGTACCAAGAGAGAACCATGACGTTTTGCAGGATAACTGGAAATCCTAGTTAATTGAGATGAATTCGTACACATCTTGCCACAAGTGGGGTTCCATACTAACAAGTAAGATGAACTACTTCCACAACACTTCCCCTCCCCAGCTTCCAGAAAAACTAACTACTTCCACAACAATGCCCCTCCCCAGCTTCCAGAAAAGCTAATCAGCAGTAAATGTCAAAACCAAAATTCAAATTGAATGTGACCTGTATTTAATGTTTAATAGCATTGTGTTAAATTTTTTTTTTACAGATTTTGGAAACTGGTACTTTCTTTATCACCTGGAAACCCCAGAAATCTTAGATTCGAGTTAACTAAGAGGATTTACACTTGAAGAGTAAATGTCAAAGTCATAAAAATTAAACTTGACCTAGCCTAGTAGGCATTGTGTTCAAATTCAAAAAAATATTTGGTCAGTTGGTACATTAAATATTATCATCAGGAAACTGTAAATAATGAAATCTTATTTTGATAACTAACAGGCATAAATCTGAACATTTCAAACCATCAAAATCTAACTTGATAGATGTATGTTATGATCCATGATATTGTGTTCAAAGATTGGGTCAAGCAGTTCTTTATCATCCTGAAACTGACTTGTGACTGACAGACGAACATACAGCTTACCAACATGGGCATCACTCTATACCACCTCTTCAAGACAGGGAATAAAATAGTTGGGGTAGAGATTCCAATGACCCTGACTAACCAACCAGGTATGGGAGGCACATGTCCAATATAAATATTTTTGAATAATAATAATTTCTGAATAATAACAGCCCTCAAAGTAGCCTCTGAAATGAAGTGGCCAACTGGCCACCAGACATGAAAATTTAGTCGCCAACTCAAAATTTCAGTGGCCAGGAAATAATTTCAGGACGCCTACATTTTTTTCTAGCTAAACAACCCTTGCTAAATAAAAATATAAATTTTTTGTTCTGTGTTTTTATATTGTCGAGTGTAGAAAATAGTTTGTATAAATCAACTGTAAAATAAAATGCTCCGCTGGGGCGCAGCTTGATACGACCGCAGAGGTCAAACCCTGAACAGTTGGGGCAAGTATGGACACAACATTCAAGCTTGATACAGCACTGAATTTGGATTGTAATTAAATATTTGACACAGCATAGGTTTCTGACACAGAATGAAAGTGGTCTAAGAACTTATAATTTTTTAATTTACCTATTCATACATGTGATGGACTGTGAAACTCAGATCAGGAGATTGGGAAATTTTGGTCAGGAGATTAGGACTCAGATCAGGAGGTTTTTAATCGACATAAATTTTGTCGTAAATGTAACCGTTTGCTGTAAAAATGGTCTTTTAAAGTGTGTTTTCTTCAACTTTCCATCCAATTTATTATGTTTATAGTACCCTTGTACTTATAAAGTTTCTCCATCTTTATATTTTACATGTTCAATCTAACATTTTTTTTTCAGTATGTTCTTTAAATTTTTTACTTCATATTCTATAAAACATTTATTGCAACCAGAACATTTGTTTAACTATCTGCAAATAGCTTTTGTTTGCATACTCAGAAATTCATTCTAACTGTAAAACAAGGGTCATAGTTATTATATAAATTTCAATTTAAGCCTTGAAAGGAAGTATAGAATCCTCAAATAATTTTCAAATTATTATTTTCTTATTTGTCCTAAGACATTTAAAATCATTTATTTACCATCCTTTTATGATTATTTGTTCAATTTATATTTTATTTATATTCTTTTAAAAGTTTTCATTATTAAAAGGAAAGTAACTTAAAACAGGATAAATCAAGGGAAGTAACCCAATAAATATACAGTTTTTGTTACACAACGGCAGTTAGCCTGAGGTAAAAAATCATTGATTACCAGTATGTTTGACACCCAAGCTGACAAGTGAAGCCATATAATTATGCATGTTAATTGATTTACAGGTAAAATATAACTTCAGGTAATGTGAGTTACACCAGATGCCTGAGATGATATGTTGGGCAGAAATTTTTCATTTATGAAAAATTTCATACACGGGATTATAATTTTCCTCTTCAACCGGAGGTCGGGAGGAGACTCCTGAAAACAGGATTATTGTACTCCTGTCGGGAGGTTCACATGTATGCTATTCAAACCATATCATTATTATTTGCTTTTATATATAAATCAGAAATAACCAATTTAAAATGGAAAATTTTAAAGAAAAAAAAGGAAAACCCCCCCCCCCCCCCCAAATTTTTTGAACCCCCTTATGATTCATCGCCCCCACACTCAATCCCAGCTTTCCCTTTGTGGTATGGTACCTTGCAGTACAATTTTAGAGAGATCCATTCACTTGAACACAAGTTATTGTCTGGAAACTAGAAAAATGTTTGTTTTTTTGTCCCTTTTTGGCCCCTAAATCCTAAACGTTTAGGGCAATTACCCCCAAACTCCAACCCAGCTTTCCCTTTGTGATATGGAACCTTGAAGTACAATTTCATAAAGATCCATACACTTACAAACAAGTTATTGTCCTGAAACTAGAAAAATGCATTTTTTGCCCCTTTTTGGCCCCTAATTCCCAAAATTTGGAGGAAATTACCCCCAAAAATCAATCCCAGTATTCCCTTTGAGATATGGAACCTTGTGATACAATGTCAGAGAGATCCATACACTTACACACAAGTTATTGTCATGAAACTAGAAAAATGCTTGTTTTTTGCCCCTTTTTGGCCCCTAATTCCTAAAATTTGGAGGCAATTACCCCCAAAATCAATCCCAGCATTCCCTTTGTGATATGGAACCTTGTGGTACAATGTCAGAGAGATCCATATACTTACACACAAGTTATGTCTGGAAGTTACAAAAATGCTTATTTTTGGCCCCTTTTTGGCCCCTAATTCCTTAACTGTTAGTACCATAACCCCCAAAATCAATCCCCACCTTCCTTTTGTGGTATTGAACCTTATGGTAAAATTTCATTGAGATCCATTTACTTAAACTAAAGTTAGAGTGCGAAAACTAATGTGTATTCGGACGACGACGCCGGATGACGACGACGACGCCAACGTCATACCAATATACGACCACAAAAATTTTTTTGCGGTCGTATAAAAACCACATGATTTATTTAATTTAATGTTTTATATAATAATCTGTGACGTTTAGCGGTAGTCCGAAGCCCAGTCAAAAAAAAATCTCATCTGACTTTTGCAGAAGCACTGGTGATTGCCCCATAGGTCAAGTGAACATCTGAAATCGTTTGCGAAATTGTAGCCGATATTTTATTGAATCTATGTTGTAGACTCTGAGAACAAGTTACAAAATTGTCGTCGACCTTGTTTCATCTGTTAACTGACGAAATCAAGAACGAGGCTCGACCATGTGCTTTCAATAAACACAATCTTCAAATGCTAATGTATTTTTTTCTAACGGCACGTAATAGTCAAAGTTGTGACTGAGAGCAAAAACGAAAATAGATGGATCTGTGCCATTTTCAGTCAATGCTTACAAATGACCTACAATTGGCTGATGCAATAAAGCGCTGATAAGATCAAGCTTAAATCTAAAAGGCGCTTGAAATACAGTATAAATTTGTGTTACTGTCAAGCGCTCAGACGATTTTTTAAAACCCGACTCTGATCAGGGCAAATTTCCGAAAATTTCTGGTCGCCAGACCTTCAATATTCTAATACCGTAATCGGGCTTGTATAGTTCACACTGGTACATAGTCCGCACCCCCTTCTCCCCACGAAATTTCAGGTAAAAAAAACTTTTTGTAACTGTTAGAAAAGGTTTAATGAAACTCCGGTAATTTTAAATCGTGTGTGGTCGTTTGCGGTATTTTCTTGGAAAAACCTATTTTCCAGCACCAAACAGAAGCTGAAACTGCTTGTAAATGGTTCTAAAACAGTTCACGCTGGTTAAAATAAGTCTAAATCACACAAAAAAACAATTTAGAAACTTGTGCATGTTTAAACCGGAAGTTTGAAAAGCACGTGTAAAAGATGAAAAAATCTGGTGAGAGTTGAAATCCGTACATAATAGATATCACTATAATACGACTTAAAAAGTAAAACAGTTCCCTCCTTATGTAAAACAGTGTTTAATATATCTTTCACATTAATGTTTGAAGGGTCTTAAGCTAATACAAAACATATCTGCCAATAGGAAACACCAAAACGGAACGAATAATAACCGATTACGTTTTGTAGTTTACACATCGTAAGCTGCTTTACGGTTGTCTTTTTTTACTTTTTTTGTACGATTTCATTCAAGCAGATACCAGTTTATATTTAGCAATGCATTGAAAAGAAACAAGAATTTTGTAATGAAGCATTTAATTTTTAAATTTATCAGTATTAAAATGATATTGAATAAAAATAACTTTTTAATATGGATTGGGTAAAATTTTTGGTTTGAAAAATGATCGCCCTCTACAATGTCAATAACAAATATGGCGGAACGTAAACAAACCATATCGCGAAATTGAAGTTTTCTCTCTTATTTCTTGCTTATTGTACTCTATAGTCCGCACCCCTGCTGTCAGGGTCAATTTTTGAGAATAAAACCGCGGACTATACAAGCCTTTTAACGGTAGCCCAAATGGCGACCATATATGAATTTTTGGTCGCCAATCAGCTTTTAAAGTCGCCCAGGCGACCATTTCAGAAGACTACATTGAGGGCTGAATAATAAGCCAAAGTAGAAGTTTTATCATGAAATCAAACATTTTGAAGAATTTCATAACAAGTATTCTTCTTTTGTAACTGTTACCTTTGACCTCAAAATCAATAAGCTTTGTCCCTTTCCTTCTATCTACTATTGTATAAAACTTATTAAAATCAAACATGTTTCACATCATATTTCTATATTTTCAGTATATTTTTTGCATCTGTGACCTTGACAATTGACATTCTGATCTGAAAATCAATGGGGCTCTTCCTTTCCCTATAATTTCTGTCTACAAAAGTTTCGTTTTAATCCAACAATGGAACTTGTTATCGGAAATAAATTTCTATTTTTAATAACAGCAACCTTGATCTTTGACATAGCAAACCATCTATAGGCTTCTTCTCCTTTCTAATATCTCCCATCAATATAAGTTCCATTCCAATCCATCAAGGGATAATGTGGTAAGCATTTGTTTCAGAACCCACAGAGGGAAGGATGATAGACGACAATGTGCTCCTGAATTTTTTTTTAGGAGCACAATAAAGCTGATGAATGGAAATCTTTTCTTTACATACATAGCCTTGAATGCCTTTTTGTTTTTTTATTAAATCAGATGTTTGCTATACTTGAGGAGTCAGTGGCGGTTCCAGGGGGGGTTCTGGGAGTTGGATCCTTTTAAAAATGGCTGGATCCACCCCTTGGAGTAGAAGCAGAAATGATGAAAGTGTCAATGATCACCTACAAAAACTGATTTGGGGAAAAAGTATTATCTTTTAGACTTTTTATTTCAAACCCTGCTAGCCCTTAATATAATTACCAAAAGCTTCTTTGGCTAACTGTAAATCTGATTCTTCTTGTAATCTCTGCTTTTTCAATTTGTCTGCAATTTCCTCTTCTGGTGTTAATTTCCTATTTTTTTCTTGTTCCTGAAAAAAACATGTTCACTTAAAATTATCACAACATACAGTGATTTTAGACTATTAAGTCTGAGGAAATTGAAAACCTAAGTTTATCTAAACATTTTATATTTGTCAACTATAACATATTACACTGTAAGATTTATCCCAAGATTAAATTTCCAGAGTTTATGGTTTTTATATTACATACAAAGGTGATTCTGTTTATAAACTTTATTCTTGTGTTGAGCAAAACAATTTGAAAAGGTTAACTGCAGGCAAGGTTGACAACAGTCTGATTTACAACCCTGTCATATTAATTAAACCTATTAAATAAAGGAAGATATTTCAGAGTGAGTCGACAGAAGTCAGTGTGAAAAACAAATCACCAAGAGAGATTTTCAACTGAAACATGTTGTGTGTTGGAAAGAAAATGGAACAGACAAAAAATGCATGTAGACCTAAACTACCCTCCTTTTGAGAGGGGTATAATTGTTTTAGTCTCTCTTTTTTTTTTCATCATTCAACGGAAAAAGCTATAACTGCACCTCGAGATACATTTTCCCCTCACAATATCTCACATTCTAGTGAAAGTTTCGAAAAAACTTTTGTTTTTTAAATGACCATATTACGCAATGGCATGCCAATACAATTTTTTTTTTCGGTCATGTTTGACATTTGAAATTGTGTCTTTACTGTTGTAGAAGTTATAAGAATGCACCTGTTGTCGTGCTATGCACATGTTGTTGTGCTATGCACTTGTTGTCGTGCTATGCATAACAGTTGTAATTCAAAGTATCAGAAGGAAAGAAATATGTCTGATAAATCTGAAAAACTAACACACATTGTTGAGCTGTTGACCAAATATGAAGTCTTTTTGTTGAACAGTTTCTGAGGAAAGTGTGACAAAATATCTTAAGATCATTCAACATATCTACACTTGTCTGCTAAAAAATATAAGCGAATCTTTATACAAGGAGAAAAAAAGTCATAATTACAGCCTCTTCCGCAGCAAGTTTAGCAGCTTGTTTTTCTGCTATTCTGTCTGCTAATTTCTTTTTTTTTCTCTGGAAAAGCTTTCCTTCTGAAAGAAATTATGTATTTTATCAGAAGAATTCTTAAATTCTAGTCTATGTAGGAGTCTAATAGTGCAAATGCTTGGTTATAAAACAATATTTACTTACTTTCACAGAACAGCATCCATGCATGGTGGGCCAAACACTTGTAGCAATGGTAAATCATGTTTACACCAAAAAAAAAGCTTTTAAAAAAATCCTGTGGAGAGCACCGCATTGAAATTAAAAGCATATGGAATCATGGTAATTGGTGGACCAACACCTTTGAACACTTATCTTAATATCGGCCAAAATGGAAAGTATCAGATATATATATGGTTTATTGATTTTGTTGATACTGCAACAAATACACCAATTCATCACTTACATAATGTATTCAATTTTTTATAAAACAAATTTAAGTGACATAAAAAGTCATGCATTCGTGTGACTATTGTAGAATCATTTTATTTCACTAGATCTACAAAGGTTTGTGATGAAAAACTTCTTTTGTCCTCATTCATAATGGACTTTTCTATGCGGTATGAGTTTTGCTCATTGTTGAAGGCCTCCATCAACATATACATGTTGTAGTTTGAAGCTTCTTGATCATTTGATCTCTGGTGGAGAGTTGTCTCATTAGCAATGATACCACGTCTTCTTTTTTTTTTTTTAATACATGTACACATAAGCTTGCCATCACATTGGTAGCTGCACTGTGCTGGTTTTTTATTATGACAAGTTTTATGACATATGGTCTGGATAGGGAAAGGTTGTGGTTTTTGAACATGTCAAAACTGGTTCAATTTTGTGCCAATACCAAGATCAGGGTATCTGGATCATGTGTTGTTTTGGTCTATTTTTTCTTCAATCAGGCACTAGTGGTTGATGTGGTATGTTGTACTGTCTAGTATTTTTGTGTTTTGTGATCTCTGTTATCCTTTTATGTTATATATTATAATTAGTTAATTTTCTCATAGCCATTGTCCCAGTATTTTAATGGACATGGTGCAATTCAAAGAGGCTGTACAATGTAGTGTGTGTTTCATTTGAATTTTTGTTTAAGGACAATCAACATACCCCCATCTTTTTGTTCTGACTTCTTTTCTTCATCATCGTCATCCTCCCAATTATCCTGTAAACAAAAGTTTAAACTTGTATTAAGCACATTAAAACTTACCAGATGCAGAACATATTTATTGGCAAATCAGTGGTGGTGAAATATTTGTTGTAAATTTTACTTGTCCTGAAAAAAAGTTACTTGCCCTGAATTTCCCAATAATATTGAAGTATTCTATTGATGATGATGATGATGGATGGATGCTTAACGTCCTGCAGCAAATTAATATGCATATTCAGGACGAGAACATGTTAATGAAATATGAATATTTACCATGCTTTGTACTAGACTGACATGCTGAGCCAGATTTTAACGTGCTAGTTCACAAGGTAACAGTCCTCAGAAAGACATGTCACCTTACCTGGACACATTATTCTGACTCCGAGCCGACCAGTCTTTGCTCTTACTCCTTAATGCTGCATGCTTAGCGGAGAAGCAGCAAATACCAATTTTACCCGGCCGGGTTCGAACCCACGACCTCCCGCATTTGAGGCGAACACGCTACGACGAGACGGTAAGTTCTCTACTGTAAGCTTGTATGATTCTAAAACTGTTTTGTATCGCAATATAAATGATATTTGTGATATTTGTTTATGTGTATAGTATGGGGTTAACATCAATGAAACAGAAACCCAAAAGCAAAACAACCAAAACAAATCTAGAAGGCAACTAATGTTTGTCCATTTCCCCAGACACCTGTTTAATTTTACTGTTTTCTTTCAATTGACAAGCTTGGTGTATTGCAGAACATTAATGGCCCACCAAAGTGTCCCTTCTAATTATTAATTTGCCAACAATTGAGTAAGACTTGATCAGCAAGTTGTTGGTGTTTCCTACAAATTAATTTATTCTTCAGAGGTTTTATCACTGGAAAGCCTGGTGAAATTTGTAACCCACGACGTCTGGATTTCTCGTTGCCGTATTCCTCGTCTTTCTCTGCCTGTGTTTTCCATTTTTTTCTTCATTTTGTCATTTTCATTCTTTTCGTCTTGATTACGCAGTCAAGGTGTTTTTATCACGTATTTATCCATCTCGATAAAACTCAATCATGAAAAATTAAAATAACACTTCCGTTAGATGGCGGATAAAACCTAATCACCGATCCCTGGTCCATGGAGAAAAATAATATTATCATGGTTATGTTTGTAAGACCCAGATTCGCATACTTATCTTTATAGATCTATTTCCGGGTTTCTCAATACTTGTTGTCATGAACATTGATGTTTTGACTTAAAATTATGTTTTTCTTATGTTGATCATTGGTTTCTTTTACATAAAGTAATACATCTTAATAAGTTGTGAAAATAATTCTATATTTTTGATTAAATTGAACTGTGTCCAGTGTATTTTTTCACTTGTTCACGGGCAACCTAGATCAAAATATTTACTTGTTCGGTAGTTCAAATGTACATGTCGGGCGAGTCGGGCATAGAATTTCTACATCCCTGGGCAAATTGTTTCTAACCAAGATAAACTAATTTTTCCTTCCAAAAATTTCATTTGTCACATTTGGTTTGAAGGCACTTTCAAATTTATGTAGGAAATGTAGGGTTACTCTCCTGGACTTTTAGTGATTTCAAACTTTAACCCTTTAAATTACTGTGAAAGTACTTTTATTCGTGGGGTACCAATTTTCGTGGTTTTCGCTTATGGCTTCCGCCTTTATCCACTATTTAAGTGTCCAATGAAATATAACAGTTGTTGTCCAAATCAAGACATTGAAAGATCCCCATGTAGATTTGACTACATGGATATGGACTTGTAATCCAGAGAATACATCGAATATCAGCAAACCGATATGAACTATATATACAACTTCAGATTCTATTGGCCTGTAGAGATGATTTTTACAAGACTGGGCTGGTGGGCCTGTGGTTAAGCACGATGACTGCAATTACACTTGTGCAACAATAAAAATATTTTCTTTGCAATTTCCTTCAGTCAGACAATTTGTAAGCATGCATAGATGAATCAGCTCATTTCTGAAAGCAATTATTTTATTAACAATTTGATGAATGTTGTCAGTAATTAAAGAAGGACAAGTAAGTGAAAATGAACACCTTATTTTGCAATGTGCCACAAATCATTATAAAACAACATATGATTATTTTCAAGAATCTTTGTTTCTGATGGCCTCAACTTACTCGATTTTTTTTCAGGAAACTGAAATCCACGAATTTAAGAACCCACAAACATGTAACTTTTGCTCAAACCACGAAAATTGATACCCACGAATAAAAGTACTTTTACAGTATGTTTATTGATAATAATATAAACGAATTAAAAGCATCAATGTAAAAGGATGTTCTTTATATGATTTTGATTTTCTTGGCAAATACATGTACCAACAAAATATATTGAAATCTATTAACTACAAATGTGTAGTTATAAAATCTTTGGTAATATAGTATAACTATATTTAGTTATTTTAGAGGAGATTGAACAAACAGCTGATAAATCTTCAATCAGATAGAATCCCTAAAGAAAATACCTCAGGTATGCAATACACCTTATCGTTATTTAGTCCAATCCATGAAAAACAGTTATTTAGACAACTTCCTGTTGAGGTCAAGCGGAAAAAAACAAAGGTCATCAGCAATGAGCTGAGGGAGGAAAAAGTTTGGAAAGCGGACATTTTAAAATTTTGAGGTTTAAGAAGCAATTTTTAAAAGACAAATTAAAGTCATTGAAAATGCTTTGTTTGATGTGTTTCTGATGGTTTAAACATGTCTCTATGAAAAGTTTAATGCACAATACATTGTTTGAACAAGGCCCCATATAGCTCCAACAGGTTTGAAAAGTTGTGTAATTTTAGAACTTATCTGGATAAGCAATATGCTTTTATTTAAAAATAAATGGGGAATGTGTCCATGGGACACAAATGATGCCCCCGCTTGCATATAACGTTATAAAGGGACATAACTCAAGAATGATAAAAGTGACGCTACCCAAATTTATGCTTGATCTGAGTTTTGTGGTAATAAGCATTGTGTATTAGTTTCATAACATTTGGTTGAGGCAATCTTAAGTTAGAGAACGGAAATGAAAAAATTCAGCAATTTTTCCATTTGTAAAGAGGCATAACTCTAGAAAGGTAAAAGAGACGCCACTCAAATTCAAACTTGATCTGTGTTTTGTAGTACATGTAATAAGGATTGTGTATAAGATTCATAACATTTGGTTGAGGCAAACTAAAGTTAGAGAACTTAACCAATTTCGGGACGTACGTACAAACGAACAAGGATAAAACTTAATGCCCCCTCCGCTACGGCGGGGGCATAAAAAAAAAAAAAAAAAAAAAACACTCTGTCACATTCACATGTGGAACAAGAGGTAAACATATACAAAATACAATCACATACATAAAACAACTCTAAAATGGAATATATTAATAATTACTATACTTTATAATACTTTAATTAACTTTGAAACAAATAAAGACACATTTTTTAGGACCTTTAAATTACCCAATGATAGTAATCCTTTCATTTCTGCTGTGCTCGGATATTTAACATAGTACTGATCATGAGAAATGTGTAGATTTCTGATATTTTTTTACTAAGATGGAATTGCATTCAAATAATTAATGGTATTCATTACCAATAGCATTTGAACATATTTATTAAAATATCCTGAATACAGTTAATAGGGCTAAACAAGTGAATCTGTGAGCTACTGCTCACTAATGATACCCCTGTCCCGCTAAAAGTAAAAGGTAAACAGGAAGTGTTGAATCTGAAAATGCATCACACGGTATAGCTGACTCATATAAACCCTGAAACCACATTTCAGAAATCCTTGAAATGTAGTTCCTGAGAAGGATGCGACGAAAAATATTCATGGGATGGACGGACGGACAGACGGATGGACTGACAGACAGGTAAAACAGTATTCCCAAACTTTTTTAAAGCAAGGTATAATAAGAAATACCAAGGGCAGCACAGTCAAAAATTCGCTCTGGACACCCAGTCCCAAAAGGATTACAAAAGGGTTTAAAATTTTATAAACAAATCTAACAGCTGTCACATGTAAAGAAAGCTCCCAATAAGGATGATCAATTGTTATGCCAAGTCTGTTTAATAAAAATTCCAAATCATGCATTTATGTTTAATTATCTTCTCAACACCAAATGTAGAAAAACATGTAATTTGAAACGTGTAAAAAAAATTATAAACCTTGACATCATCTTCATCCTCCCCTTCCCACTGATCTGTAGTCTTCACAGGTAATTCCGGCTCAAAATCTTCGGCATCTACAAAATATAAAATTATCCAATAATAAAATTCATTTAAAATGTAAAAAAGATTTTTGTAACACATAAATATGTTCTCCACATGTTTACCCCATTCGTCAGACATCTTGAAGTTCTAAAAATAGTGATTATTTGCGCGGGAATGCAATTTCTTTGGATGGTTGTATAAAATTTCTAATGAGTTACAGTATTATTCAATATTTTTCGTATAATCTAAGAAATACTCAATACAGTAATTTGGAAAATATTTATTTAATTATTTTAGACTGGTTTTAAGAATATAAGATTATAAAAGGACAAATAACTTCAAGCTGGCAGGAAACCAGAATTTCCAAGGTGCGTGACTGCTTTGTTTACAAATGGATGACGGAGTGAAATGACTCAGTCGTAAAATATTTAAATTTCTGTTTAAAAACTTGTACAGAATCAAAAAGAGTATGACAAATTTTGATTTTACTTTCGCAATACGTTGATTCTAATTGCTATCATCCCGTCAAACTATTTGATTTTAGAATCTACAGTCTGTACAGATATAAAAATGATAAAAACAAAAACAAAAATTTGATAATCACCAAAAGTTGATGGATAATTAACCAATATAGAGTTGATTTTTTCTGAATGAGTTACACCAATTGGCGTAAACGGTTTCTATTATTAGCAAGAAGTGACAAGAAGAAAAAAATTAGCGACAAGAAGAAAAAGTTAGCGACAAGAAGACAAATTAAGTGCAAGAAAGTTTATAAACTATCAAAACAATAAATTTATAAAAAAAGTCAATTAATTACAGGTTATTATAATTGTTTCATAAACTTTAAAATTTTGTTGCATTTAGTAGCTTGTACATCTTGTAGTGAATTTTGAGTAAAAAAAAAATATTTTAAAGAATTTATGAATCTGAACATTTTGTTACAATCCTAGAATCATGATGGTGTCCTTGATCTGTATAATAAAAATACACGTATATTAAAAAACACACTTTAATGAATATTTCTATATTTATTTGAAATAATATTTAGATTTCTTGATGCTAAATTTGTTTTCTTGTCACTAAATTATTCTTCTTGTCGCTAAATTATTCTTCTTGTGGCTTCTTGACACTTCTTGTTGCTAATTAGTGAGACCCAGCATAAATGACAGGAAAAAGCATGAATTTGAAAGTTGTCTATTGTATATCAAAAGAAAATGGAGAATTTCATGCTATTCACATCACAGGCCCTTGGGACATAGACCCCATATTTTTCTGGTGTCTAACTCTTTGGAATAAAGGTTCTTTAATATTTCAACTTATTTAATGAGTTCTTGATCTTATCCATACAATATATATTTTTATATATGCTGCCCCTCTATAGACCAAATTCAAGTTCCTTTTTATGAATGAGTTATATGTCGGTTGTCCTGAGGTCAATTGGCTTACATATAAATGACATCATTGAACAAGTGACTCTTACTCTGACCTAATAACATTAGCATGCCTCGGAGACATCAGAAATGTACAGGAAAAAGCAGGATAATGTGCTAGTCTTCTTTTATTATCTTCCAGAATATGTAACACCATAACTGTTATTATAATATCATGTAGATAAGGGAAAGAACATATTAAATAAGTTGAAATATTAAAGAATAAAGACTAAATAAAAGATATAAAGAAGGGCATATTACAGCTTGATCTTCTACATTAATATTTCAATATTTTCTATATTTAGCTCAATAAAGGACCATATAAGGCTTTTACCATCCATAGACTTTTTGTATTAGGTTTTGCTATCCAGCGGTGTGTTTTGGTCTGTTTTTCAAATACTATAAGCAGTAGGTCAACTATATGTGGTGTATGGAAGGATTGTATGTTGTACATGTCTGTCTGGCAGGTATAATCCAACCTTGACCTCATTTTCATGGTTCATTGGTCAATGTTAAGTTTTTGTGTTTTGGTCTGTTTTTCAATTACCATAAGCAAAATGTCAACTATATTTGGTATATTGAATAATAATATAATTGTAAGGTGTACATATCTGTCTGACAGGATTATCTGACCTTGACTTCATTGCCATGGATATTTAAAAATGTTAAGTTTTTGTGATACTTGTAGTAAAACCTTTATCTTTAAGACTTTCTATATGAAATAAATGGTCAGTAAAGCAGGCGAGACATTTCAGTGTGTGCACTCCTGTATTTTATTTTTTATTTCACCTAGAATTCTTTTCCATTTTGAAATATTTCATTTTCTAAGTTCCAGAGTGAAAAAAAATCTCGACTCCTTCATGTCCTTTAAAGCTATGTTATCTTGTTGATTAAATCTTCATAATAAAATATTTGTTTTAATTTAGTCAAACACACTAGCCCAGGCCAGTGATAATGGACTTGGGCCAGTAACCAGTTTCTTGAAAAGGAGTTACAAGCCTCATAAATATAAATTGATATTTTGAAAAAAGTTGTTTTAGAGACAATAGGCCAACAAGTTTTTTGTGAGTCTGGGTTTTTTTCATATTCTGACTTCAAATTTGTTTTCAGGTTGTATTATTTTGCTGTAATTAACAGAAGGACAGTATGAGTAAACAACCGGTTCCCAAACCAACTGGTACTAAACCAAAACAGGTAATACATAGAAATTATTTGTTATATCCATCAATACAAATTCATGATAGTCACCAGGAGTTCCTGGATAACTTGGTTACCACAGACCTTTGTCATGTTTGTTAAGTATTTGACAAACTCTATCACTTACTGGTATATTAAACAGTTATTATAAAGGAGATTTAGGTAATACATCAATGAAAAAGCAACAATGCAAGACAAAACACCCTAGATATCAATGTATGGCCTTCTGATTACAAGAACAGCAATAGACTAGTGTCCATGCCATATATTACATATTTATTGAGTGTAGACTACCAAACTATATATCGCCCTGAGTGTAGACTACCAAACTATATATCGCCCTGAGTGTAGACTACCAAACTATATATCGCCCTGAGTGTAGACTACCAAACTATATATCGCCCTGAGTGTAGACTACCAAACTATATATTGCCCTGAGTGTAGACTACCAAACTATATATCACCATGAGTGTAGACTACCAAACTATATATCGCCCTGTGTGTAGACTACCAAAGATCTGCCATCAGCACCAAATTCATTATTAAAGGGGCCAAAGAAAAAGAGCACAGACTGAGACAGGGTTCCAGACTTTTGACAAGCGCAGGGTCAATTAGTTTTTTAAGTAATCAACCCCTCTGTTTTTTATCTATAATAGATGGAATAAGAAAAGGGTTCATAGAAGACAGTACAATTTAAATGGGCAAGCACATGTTTACTTGCCCATTTTTAACAATGACTAGAGTAACTTGTGTACAACCCATACTGTGGTGGTATTTGTGCACTGACCAGATCTCATGTACTTGGGGATCGCAATACTGGAATAAAAATGTTGTGAAAACCTTTAAGGGACCCTCAGATTTTGTCATAAAGAGATGCACCTTCAAAATTTTTTGAGGCAAACATTTAATTGATTGATGCAATAGATATCAGAATAGCAAATTGAGCAAAGCTTTGTCAGAACCTTGTAAGCCTAATGTAGGCACAGGAATTGCATTTCAATCAGATGCTGAAGAAAATCGTAGTATTATATCACATTTATTAATGCCATTGAAACTTCATTTTCCAGTCAAAGGTCAACATACAAAAATCAAAATTGATTGCGCTTTCAGTCATTAGTTGACAGGTTAAGATTGAGTGAGGTTTATTGTCCTTGATGACATATCGCGCACATTGAGCCATATGAAATAATCAGTAGGAAATCTGTTAATTCATTGATTGATAAATTTGAATTTGTGATATTTTATGTCTTCCAATTACTGGTATGATAATATTGGTTGACTCTGTATTTTGAATGGAATTTGATGGATCAGTTTAACTTGGAGGCAGAATGTCTTGATGCAATAGAGTGGATATTTGAAACAGATCAAAGAAATGCTCATTTGTCAGTTTGAATAAATAATCCACAAAATTCTTCATTTCTGTAAAGAAACATATAAAAATGTTAAATTGCTGTTTAAAAAAAAAAAAAAAAAGCAGAAACTTTAAATTATAAAAGTTTGAAACCTTTGAAATTCATAATAAACAGTATCAAAATGTATATTAAAATCATCTCCCTTTTAAGACATGCTGTTCTTATATTACAGACTACTGGTGCAGGTAGAGGTTCTCCTGCAGGAAGGGGAGCTCCGTCAGGTAGAGGAAAAGCAGTATTACCACGAGGCATGCAACCTATTGCCATGAAAAAACAAGATGGAATGTTAGTTCCTGAAGGTAAATTTGTTTGTTTGATGGGAATTTACATTATATCTTGTAAAAAAAACAATGCATAGTATGAAGTACAAATTCCAATGAATTATATATTGAATTTTTTTAGTATCCAATGATCTGTTGATTGTTTAGTATCATTTTGACACCATATTTATATGAGAAACTACAAAGAAAAGATGATTGTCAGAATAATTCTCCACTTTTGATGAAAGTAATTAATAGCTTTGAAAATCTCTGTATTTTGAAGATATACATGTATAGACCATATTTATATAAAGGCCTAAAGTTGTTATATTCAATCATTAGTAAAAAGAATTAATATAAGCTGAAAATTTGTTTCCAGGTCAAATAATGATTCAACTATTATAATATTTTCAAGCCAATTTATGTATATGTATAAATTGAATTAATTTAAAATAAAATATGCTTACACTAATTATTTGTTAAGATTTGAGCTTTCTTATCAATGTTATCCATATCAATTTATCTGTTTTTGGTACTTTATTATACTAACCAAGAAATTCAACAAACAGACGACAATAATAAGAAAAAAAATATTAAAAGAAAAACATATAATAGAGGCTTTTATAAATATAGCTGTGACTATGAAATTGTCTCCCCTAATTGATTTAATTAATTCAGGGGAAAACTTACTTATGTCAGTTGGTGTATAACAAACCATTCTTACATCATGTTTAATACCAACCACTCTTGATTATTTTTAGGATACACCATGAGAAAAATTGAACCAGCCAAGAATTATGATGTTGTGTCATTTGCCAGAGCCATGAATCAAGATTTTGCTCCAAGACTTAAGAAGTTATTTGATCCAGAAGTTGAGGCTGCCTTAACTGCTCAGAAAACAGGTCAACTCAGAATTATCTCCCCTTATTTTTTTTTTTTTGTATGGATTATTGCTGAGTCTTTATCTCATTGTGGTGAATCTGATTTAGAATTTTAATTGTTAAAGAAATGTATAAAAATACTGCCACATATATAGGTATTTTCATTCTCTCAGATAATTTTTAAACTGCATAAACTTTAAAAAAAAAAAAAAAAGTTTTTTTTGTTTTATTCATATAATCCTTAAAATAAAGCGATTAAGTGATTTTTTATTTATATTTGATGTTATTTAGGAATCTATATTGGATGGAGGTGCCCTGAGTTTAAACATGACTGTCAAAGGGTTAATGATTATTCCAAATGTTTCTGTGGTCATTTGTTGAATGGGCATGCAAATTACACAGGTATGATGTATATGTATTTACAGTTAGGGATGATATAGGACACTGAAGTCAAGTTCCTCCATGTTTAAATGTATGATTATCATGAATTATTTCTTAAATTTGATTATTTGAAGAATATACAAATGAAATGCTATAAATAAATAGTTATCAAATATGGAAACTTGATTTAATTTAGAAAACCTGAAAATGAAAGAATGCTTTTTTTCTAACAACAGGAGAAAAGCCCAATCATTTATTAGGTAAATGGAAATGTCCATTTGACAACCAATAGAATTTACAAAAGAGTAGGTTTATGGGTTTTTAAAATTTCCTTTTTTTAATCTGGCCAAAACACTACAAATTTTACATAGAAATAGTTGATATTACTGTTAATAGAAAATAACTTATTTTTGTTACATCACATTATAACCTACAAAGTTATGACCACATAATTATGACTTATTTTATGATAAAGTCAAAATCCAAGGCCATATTTTTCCAAAAGTGAATCTGGTCTTTTTGCACTCTATTGTCACTGTTCATATTTACATTAGCATAAAACATGACAGTGACCTATATGTATACCAACAGTGACCTATATGTATACCAATAGTGACCTACATGTATACCATAGCTTCTTACTCTTCATTTTAGGAAAGAGTGTACAGGTACCATGTCGACAAGGGGGATGTAAATGTAAAGGTTTTGCTTGGACTCCGTCCCGTCCTGAAGATGTAGGGGAATTCTGGCATCAACGAAGAAGGGATTTTGATCCTAGTACATGGAGAGCTAAATGTCGTTGTAAACACACACATGAAGAACATGAACCTACAGGGATGAGAAGGTGTAAATCTAGAGGTTTGTTCCATACTGACTGATGATTTAAGATTTTAATGTCAACTAAAAGTGATTTATGTTTTTAATGTACCTGAAGAAAGATGGGAACAACTCTGTATGTGTTGAGCAGATGGGTATATGTTTAACCCCGCCACATTCTTTATGTGCCTGTCCGAAGTCAGGAGCCTGTAGTTCAGTGGTTGTCGTTGGTTCATGTCTGTCATATTTGTTTTTCATTAATTGTTTTGTTATAAATTAGGCTGTCAGTTTTCTCAATTGAATTGTTTCATATTTTTCATGTCAGGGCCTTTTATAGCTGACTATATGGTATGGGTTTTTCTCATTGTTGAAGGCCGTACGGTTGCCTATAATTGCTTACATCCACTTTATTTGAACTTTGGTGGATAGTTGTCGCATTGGCAATCATACCTCATTTCCTTATTTTTATATATAAATCTTTCATGATTCAAACTTCTGTGTCATTTGGTCTCTGGTGGAGAGTTTTCTCATTGGCAATCATACCACATTTTCTTATTTTTATATATAAATCTTTCATGGTTCATCCATACATCTGAACTTCTGTCTATACACTGGTATTTGTATTTTTTTATAACCTTCTCTTAAGAAGGTGGGTATACTGATTTTTTGTCTGTCTGTCAGATTTTCCATTTGTATCACACATTTCGCTTTGTAACTACAAACCGAGCTTCCTAATATTTGGTAGCAAGCTTCATTTGAGCATGCTTTACCAAGTGGTGCATTTGCAGATTTATTACTCATTAATTTCCTGTTCAAAAAATAATTATATACTCTTTCATGTATGATAATGGCTGTGTATGAGATTTATAATGAAATTTTAGCAGTAACTACAAATCAGGGCTCTCTGAATTTCAAAATAAGCCTTGTGTGAGCAAGTATTATAACTGAGTTGATGTTACCATATTTTTTTCATTTTTAGCTCACCTGGCCCGAAGGGCCAAGTGAGCTTTTCTCATCACTTGGCGTCCGTCGTCCGGCGTCGTCCGGCGTCGTCCGTCGTCGTCCGTCGTCGGCGTTAACTTTTTACATTTTGAACTTCTTCTAGAGAACCACTGAATGGAATGAAACCAAACATGGCATGAATGTTCCTTATGAGGTGCTCACCAAGTGTTGTTACTTTGTAGCCGATCCATCATCCAAGATGGCCGCCAGCGGGGGACTTAGTTTAACATAGGACCCTATGGGAAATGCATACAATTGACTTCTTTTAGAGAACCACTGAATGGAATGAAACCAAACATGACATGAATGTTCCTTATGAGGTGCTAACCAAGTGTTGTTACTTTGTAGCCGATCCATCATCCAAGATGGCCGCCAGCGGGGGACTTATTTTAACATAGGACCCTATGGGAAATGCGTACAAATGACTTCTTTTAGAGAACCACTGAATGGAATAAAACCAAACATGGCATGAATGTTCCTTATGAGGTGCTGACCATGTGTTGTTACTTTGTAGCCGATCCATCATCCAAGATGGCCGCCATCGGGGAACTTAGTTTAACATAGGACCCTATGGGAAATACATACAAATGTCTTCTTTTAGAGAACCACTGAATGGAATGAAACCAAACATGGCATGAATGTCCCTTATGAGGTTCTGACCAAGTGTTGTTACTTTGTAGCCGATCCATCATCCAAGATGGCCGCCAGCGGGGGACTTAGTTTAACATAGGACCCTATGGGAAATACATACAAATGTCTTCTTTTAGAGAACCACTGAATGGAATGAAACCAAACATGGCATGAATGTTCCTTATGAGGTGCTGACCAAGTGTTGTTACTTTGCAGTCGGTCCATCATCCAAGATGGCCGACAGCAGGGGACTTAGTTTAACAAAGGACCTATGGGAAATACATACAAATGTCTTCTTTTAGCGAACCACTGAATGGAATGAAACCAAACATGGCATGAATGTTCCTTTTGAGGTACTGACCATGTGTTGTTACTTTGCAGTCGGTCTATCATCCAAGATGGCCGACAGCAGGGGACTTAGTTTAACAAAGGACCTATGGGAAATACATACAATTGTCTTCTTTTAGAGAACCACTGAATGGAATTGAACCAAACATGGCATGAATGTTCCTTATGAGTTGCTGACCAAGTGTTGTTACTTTGCAGTCGATCCATCATCCAAGATGGCCGCTAGGGGGGGGGGGCCTTAGTTTAACATAGGACCCTATGGGAAATACATACAAATGTCTTCTTTTAGAGTAGCACTGAATGGAATGAAACCAAACATGGCATGAATGTTCCTTATGAAGTGCTGACCAAGTGTTGCTACTTTGTTGCAGATTTACTGTTCAAGATGGCCACCAGGATATTTTATTAAATAACGGGACCAATATTAATCAAAATTTGGCCTCAATCATTATTTGGGTATCTGTTATGATTTTTATCTATCTTTACATGATTTCTAAAACCAAAGTAGAGTCAGGTGAGCGACACAGGCTCTTGAGAGCCTCTAGTTAGTTGAGCCTTCTTCATAATTCAAGTATACATATTCCTTATCATTTTTTGGGGTGAACTGTAATGCTTATAACTGTTATAAATATATATAGAAATTCCTATAGGTAGTAGTTAGGGAATATGAACAACCACTGTAGTTATAATTGTTTAAGAGTAATAAATAAATTTTTTGTTCAAGGTGTCAGAAAACAAAGCACCTTTTAGGAATTTACAATTCAGTGAACAAGTTTTGGATTCTGTTGTCCACTAAAACTCCACTTTTTCCCCCAAATAATAATAAATTATCATATATTTGTATGGTGGCAAGTTTCAAACCATACAATAATTATAAGTCTATTGACTAGTGTGATTTGTATATCTACTAACCAACTGTGCAGTATAATCATATTTTTAAGATTTTAAACACACTGCCTTTTCAGGATGTTCTTGTGGCCATTTTGATTCTAACTTTCTGTGTGCTGCTTGTGATAACCATTGGGAAAGACATGACACTTTCTTTGAAACAGAAGATGTCAGAAGACAAAATGGACTTCCTGTTGGTTAGTATTCTTTTTAAGACTTATACTACAAACCAACTAATTTTCATTTGCAATTTATTTAAGCCAAGTTTGCATTTAAAAAGATAATGCAAATATAAACTGTAGTGAATATGTCAAACTTGGATCTCCTCTTATATGAGATAGAAAATTGCAAAAATACATTGTAACAAAGTCTGTAAAAGGGGCTAGTCACTAACAAAATGTCAACGAAAAAAACTTGGTTTACAGTAAATAAATACATGTATCATCAAAATTTCTAATTTTTCAATATCATGGCATACCAGTCTGTAAAACAGAAATATGAAGACAATGTTTATTTTTATTCTGAGCCATAAGTATCATTTTTGTCACTCTCTATTATGATTATATATGTTTACAGGAACTGACTATATACCATTTGCTGAAATGCCAGATCTGAGAAACATAGCTTTGACAGGAGATGAAAATGATGATTCTAAATATTTGGCCTTGACCCAAGGTGAAGGGTCAATACCACAATCCAAAGGACCAATGGGAAATGATACTCCAGTGAACTTTGGCGGAAGTAAGAGTGGATTTAAACCTGTCTATGATTGATTTATATTTAGATTAGTTGCAAACTGTTTTTGTTGCCTATATGACAAGTAACAGATAACTGTCAAATCTCAAAAATGACAAAAATCATTAATACTATAAAAGCTAAAGAACTGAAACCTTGCTAATGGTATTGATTCCTTCGTGACAGGAAGTAAGGAGTGTGACAATTTTCAATGTTATCCTCCATAAAATTTATGATTTTAAGAACCAAAATCATTTTTTCATTTGGGATACACAATAGAAAAAATGGACTTTGACAAAGTGATTTGTCTATGATGTCTTTGCAGAACAATACAACATTATTGGGCCAGAGTATTAACCAGGTAACATATGCTTGATAAAATATTTAATATTTCTCCTTAAGTAAATCGTTAATAGAAAGTTCAGAAAATTTCAGTGAAATTATTATAGATCTTTCTTGTTTTAGATTTGTAGTTGTATATTGTGCACTGTTATATCTTTTAAGTACTTTACAATTATGTTTGCCAGGTATATACATTTAATCATGCACCTGCTTTCAATGTATTCATTTTTAAAATGTACTATGCTATTATTTCCCTTGTTAAATCTTTGTTAAGTGCAATTCTGAGATTTTACATTAAAAACCGATTTTACCTTATTTTTTATCCAGATCACAATCATACAAATTATTTCCAGTTAAGGTTGCATCTTACCCTTACTTTGTCAACCTCCTGAATTTGTATTTTCAAACTTTGAAGACCATCTGAGGAATATTTCATGCAGAAAAAATACTGAAATTCAGATTCTTGTTTTTTAAAGTCTGAAACAATGCACATAGAGCTTTGTAACTTTTGTGTTAAATACATTTAATATTTGTTCACTGCAAAAACACTGCTTTATTATCTTTATACAGATTTTACATTGTTATTATTAAAGTAGTTATTTATATTATTTTTTATTAAAATCTTTGAAAAATAATTGTAAATCTACTTTTATTTTTACACCATGTTGTTTGTAATCAGTGGTATATTATTGGTTCGTTGTGTCTTACTGTTTTGAACCATTCTCTGTATAATCAGTTGAATAGCAAGTAAGTAAAAAAGTTAATTGAAGGAAAGCCAACCATTGGTTTATCTTCAATTACAATTGATTGATTGATTGGTGTTTAATGCCACTTTCAACACTATTGTGCTATTTCGTGGAGGTCAGTTGTTATTGGTGGAGGAAGCCAGAGTGCCCCGAGAGAACCACCGACCTTTGGTAGGAAAACTGACAATCCTAGTCAATTAAGATTGAAGTCAAGTGCACCTGCCCCGTGCGGGATTCGAACTCACAACCTCAGTGTTGACTGGCTAGTGATACAGTAGTTAGACTACTTAGACCACTCGGCCACCGAGGCCCCTCTTCAGTTACAACAGATCATATATAACAAATAAAAAATAAACAACTGCAGAAACAAAACATTGCATAATAAAATAAGAAAATTTGTATTGTTGATACTACAAAAGACACTAACAGAGTTATCTTTCTTGTTCAAAATTTTAAATCATTAAAGAAAACAGCAGTTATCTCCCTTATTACATATCAGTGAAAATGAATTCAAACTAAGTATTTAAATATATTCATATTAAGTCAATAATAAATATTATGTCATCAAAATAAAGAGATGTGGGCATGGTATGATTACCAATAAGAGTTCAAATGACGTAGATGTAGCCATTTCTGGTCAAAGTAAGATTTTTACACCATATATGTAACAAATGGAAAATGAAAAACTACAATTAACAACTCTTATTATTACTGCTGATAGGATGGTTGATGCTAATAGAGTTATGTCCCTTGTTAGATATATTAAAGTATCAAAGAAAACACAAGCTATCTCCCTTATCACCTATCTCTGAAAATGTTTCCAACCTATGTATATATTATAATATTCATACTAAGTAAATAATAAACACTTATTGACTATTTATAAGGGTAATAACAAGTTTGTTGTCCCTGACATAACAACAATTGCTGAGGTCAATAATTGCTAATTGAGGGACAACAAACTTGCTTTATTACACAAACAACACACCTTTTAAAGAAATCCAAAAACACCACCTGGCAGTATAAAGTAGTCACGTATACATGCACATGATGTACCGGTATGGAAAGAAATTTTAGTCCTTGTGTTATTTGAAAATATTAAGCCTACATGCAGTGTTCAAAAGCAGAGATCCTTGTGTTAAAATTTCACTGCATATGTCCGGTAACTAAAATTGATATCACCTTTCAACAAAGTACTAACAAGTATCACCATTTAACAGGGCCTTAAATTGACTTGTATCACAGCATGGCAGGGTTTTAACTTGACTTGTATCATCATGTAACAGGGCCTTTATTTGACTTGTAATACCATGTACCAGAGCTTTTAATTTGACTTTTATCACCATGTAACAGGGCTTTAATTTAACTTGTATGACAAAGTAACAGGGCCTTTGCATCACAGCATGGCAGTGTTGTAATTTGACTTGTATAATCATGTAACAGGGCCTTTTATTTGACTTGTATCACCATCTTACCGGCCTTTTAATTTGACCTGTATCACAGCATGAGAGGGTCGTAATTTAACATGTATTACACCATGACAGAGTTGTAATTTGGCTTGTATCACCATGTAATCAGGCCTTTGATTTGACTTGTATCACAATGTAACAGGGCTTTAATTTGACTTGTATCACAATGTAACAGGGCTTTAATTTGACTTGTATTACCATGTAACAGGGCTTTCTTTTATATGTATAACCATGTAACATGACTTTTTCACTTTTATCACAATCTAATTAAAATGTAGACCTCTGATTTCATTATCCTCATATACGAAAACACAAGTTAATATGGATCAGAATTTTGATTAGATTGACTTGTATCACCATGTAATAAGGCCTTTAATATGAATTGTATCACCATGAAACAGGGCCTTTAATTTGACTTGTATCACCATGTAACACCTTTAATTTGACTTGTATCACCATGTAACAAGGCCTTTAATTTGAATTGCATCACCTTGTAACAGGGCCTTTAATTTGACTTGTATCACCATGTAAAAGGGCCTTTAATTTGAATTGTATCACCATGTAACAGGGCCTTTAATTTTACTTGTATCACCATGTAACAGGGCCTTTAATTTGAATTGTATCACCATGTAACAGGACCTATAATTTGACTTGTATCACCATGTAACAGGGCCTTTAATTTTAATTGTATGACTATCACCATGTAACAGGACCTTTGATTTGACTTGTATCACCATGTAACAGGGCCTTTAATTTGAATTGTATCACCATGTAACAGGACCTTTGATTTGACTTGTATCACCATGTAACAGGGTCTATAATTTGAATTGTATTGCCATGTAACATGGTTTTTAATTTGGCTTGTATCACCATGTAACAGGACCTTTAATTTGACTTGTATAACAGCATGACAGGGTAGTAATTTGACATGTATCACAGCATGACAGGGTCGTAATTTGACTCATATCACTATGTTACAGGGCCTTCAATTGACCCCCGCGTGATGCATTGCGGGGGAACATAGAAATACCAGGCATTTGTTTGTCCATCCGTCTGGTCTTGTTAGCGCTCTCACATGTACAATTCTTGCCAGATTTTTATAATAATTATATCATAGATTTATATCAGCAATGTCTCGGACAAGTTTGAAAATCAGTGCCGATCAACTATTCTAAGAGTTATGCTCCTCAGAAACATTAATCATATGGAAAATTGCTCTCATTTGTACAATTCTTGCCAAATTTTTATGAAATTTATATTGAAGGTTTTGATATATATCAGCAATGTCTCCAACAGTTGGAAATTCAGTGCTGATCAATCATTTTCAAAATAGTTTATGGTGAACCACAAGTGGTAGGTCCATGATATTTGGTATGCAGTTGTATTAGTATTGTCACATCTCATTTCCATGGAGATTATTTGGCCCTGCCCCCTCAGTCATGGTTTATTGACTTTGAAACTTTTGCTTAGTTTACATGTATTAGTTTGTGATCAGGTCAGTTTAAAAAGTTTTAAAGAACAACAATTTTTTTTTAAGTTATTGCCCTTGGACAGATAAAATATGTGCAATGCCAGGGACATTGGAACTCTGTTCTTTTATTTGACTTGTATCACCATGTAACAGGCCTTTAATTTGACTTGTATCACCATTTAACAGGGCCTTTAATTTGGCTAGTATCACCATGTAACAAGACCTTTAATTTGACTTGTATCACAGCATGACAGGGTAGAAATTTGACTTGTATCACAGCATGACAGGGTCGTAATTTGACTTGTATCACTGTGTAACAGGGCCTTTAATTTGACTTGTATCACCATGTAACAGGGCCTTTGATTTGACGTGTATCAACATGTAACAGGGCCTTTATTTTGATGGTGGAGTTCGGTCTAAGTCTTCAATTTTCTATGTAGTTTATTTTCGTTTTTTGTCATGGAGTTGATAGTTTCCCACTCCTTATGAGTTTTAAATCTCCCCTTGGTATCTTACATGTTTTTTGCTAAACACCATTCCTGTCCTACTTCCATGACAAATATTTTGTTGTCCCAGCAGACAAAGCCCCTTACAACATCGTTTTGTTTGTAAATCACATTACATAAACTGCTTGAAAATGAAATTAAAGGTATTGACAATTCACTTTGAAACTTAGCACGGCACTTACCAAAGAGGAGATCTTTAACAATCATTGGTCTGTTCTATGTTACTTTGGAATTTCTACCAAAGATCAAGAACTGGGCCATCTTTCACTGTACTGGATACCAAACTTACATATATTAACATTAGCAACACGACAGTTGCCACATGTGGAGCAGGATCTGCTTACCCTTCCGGAGCACCTGAGATCACCCCCAGTTTTTAGTGGGGTTCGTGTTGCTTAGTTTTTAGTTTTCTATGTTGTGTTTTGTGTACTATTGTTTGTCTGTTTGTCTTTTCTTTTTTAGCCATGGCATTGTTAGTTTATTTTCGATTTATGAGTTTGAATTTCCCTCTGGTATCTTTCGCCCCTCTTTTATAACAGTGTGGCAGGGCCTTACTTTGACGTATATCACTGCGTGACAGGGTAATAATTTTATTTGCATCACCGTTTGACTTTAAAGACTTTAATTTGAATTGTTATTCTGTGGAATATGCCAACAATTTAGCATATCTGTGTTCCCACGGCCTGTATCACTCTGCTTAGAGCTTCATACAATTGCACATCACGGCTTTGTGACGTCAAATACGTTGACCTGGCCTTAATCACTTTGACACGGATAGCCCGGCAGATTACGTCAATATTCAGTAAATTGTTCAGTTTGTTGTACAATCATAAAAATTTGCATGGGTACTCCCCTTAGGATACTTGTTTAAAAAAAACCTGTTAGCTATCTTTTTTTTATCAAAATGGTGGCCATTTTCAAGATGACCGTCAATCCTGGTTTAAAATAAATCTTAATATAAAAGTAGTATTAACAGATTAATGTTATTATTTACGAAAAGACACATCTTCCTCTGCCTCATTTTTATTGTAAATACGTGAATTTTCAGTTATATTCTAAGTAACTTTTTTATTTGCCACAAACTTACTGTTTACAATTCATAAGGCAATACAATTTGAAATTGTATAAAGTTCAAGATTTGTATCCTTTCAATTTTGTCAGGAAACCGCCATTAACATAACCAGCTTTTAGTTTAAAGTGGCAAGAGGATAAAATAATTATAGCATTCTATTGAAATTGTGAAGATAAATTTGATAAGGATGTCAAGTGTGACCCAATTGAAATCCAAATATCAAGCTCATTGGAACAAATGTTGCCTTTGTCAGACAGACAAAAAAGGTGAAGATCTTAAATCTCTACCAACTCACTATTCATGCAGCAAAGAAAATGATGGCTACTACATGATCGCAACAAATATTCCACTCTTTCAAGCCATAAACCAAC